CATCCAATGGAGCAATGGAGCAGTGTGCTGAGGAAATGTCAAATATTTAGTTGACATCAGTTATTTCTAAAGAAGCAAAACCAGCATAGGGATTAAGAACCTTAGCAGCTGGAGATGGATTCTCAAGGTTCAAACTCCAACTCTGCTACAGACAAACTGTGTGACCTTAGGCAAGTGAATTAATTTCTCTATGCCTCAGTTGTCTCATTTGGAAAAAAAGGACTGCTAATAGGGTCATTAAGAGGATCAAGGGAGATATGCATGTTTTCCTTTTTCTTCGGTGCTTGGACAGTATCTGGCACAAAGAAGGCACTCCGTAACCAACAGTTAGAATAAGTATCATGAGATGCTTTGGATAATACGAAACTAACAAGCCTCTGTCTTCAGAAACCTCACAGACTACATGAACTGGCAAATGGAATGTACATGAAAGGAACACTAGCAACTCAAGACAGTGCCCACAATATATTTAGATGCAAGGGCAGTGAGGTCAGGATGAATCAGAGTGGTTCAGAGATTCCCTCAATTCTAATCAGGAGAGGATCATAGGCATCTATATGGAAGGGTAATAAGAATTTGAATAAGTCATTTCCCTCTGTTTAAGAGAGAGTTCTGTTAGTCGTGTACATTCATATTCACATCCTCACTGATACACTGTTTTTTTAAATAGGCAAGTTAAAGTTACCTCATTGAAAAGTGGAAAATATATGGTCTGTATATATTTTCGAAGTCAACTTGGTGATCTGATGATAACCACCTGAGTCTGAAGGAACTCAAGGGTGACACTGTGACTATTGGCCCAAATATGTGTTCTGTCATGAGAAAGTACCTTCAAGCCAGGACATATAACTCTTATTAATAAGAAGGATTTCCCAGAGGTCCTGAGATGTGCGACTGAGTCAGCCTCACTTTTTATTTTTCTTTTGTTTTCTATTTTGCCTTAAAAAAAAAAAAATAACTGCAAGCCGAGCTCGGTGGCTCAGCCTATAATCCCGCGCCTTGGGAGGCTGAGGTGAGTGGATTGCCTGAGCCCGCTGGTTCGAGACCAGTCTGGGCAACTTGGCAAGACCTCTTCTCTACAATAAATTAAAAAAAAAAAAAATTAACTGCCTGGGGGTCTAATGTATAGCATGGTGACTATAGTTAAGAAGACTGAATTGTATACTTGAGTTTCAGGAAGATGGTAGATGCTAAATGTTCTTATCACAAAAATTTTAAAAAGATAATCATATGAGGTGATGGATAGATTAATCAGCTGGTTTGTGGTAATCATTTCACAATGTATACGTATATCAAAACATCATGTTAAACATGGTGAGTATATTCAACTTTTATTGTCAATTCTATTTCAAGAAAACAAGAAACTTAAGTAACTGCTAAATAAAATTTCGCTTATTAAATATTAAATTATTGTAAAGGCTTAAAATGTTCATGAAAAGAAATAGAAAAGATACAGTACACTATATATTTTTTCCATCTAGTTTGAAATTTTATTTTATTTTTTAATTTTAAAATTGTGGGGTACAGTTAAGGGTTAGGTATACAAATATTCACTGTGCAGGTACCGTTGTTGACGAGGTCTGCCCCCCTTACTCCAGACAGATATTGACTACCGTTAATCCCACCTCCCTTCCCCTCCCTGTCCCCCCCCCATAGTTTCCCACCACTGTCAATCCTTTTCCTAGAGTATTACAGTAGTTTTTCAAGGTCCACTTATGAGTGAGAACATGTGATGCTCAGATCTTTGTTTCTGTGAGAGATCACTCAGTATTATGAACTCTAATTCCATCCAGAATGCTGCGAAATTCATGATTTTGTTCCTTTTTATGGCTGTGTAATATTCCATGGTGTATACATAGCATTTTTTAAAATCCAGTCCTCTTTTGATGGACAGCATGGTTGGTTCCATGATCTTGCTATTGTGAACAATGCTGCGATAAACATACGTGTGAAGGTATCTTTTTAATAGAGTGATTTGAGTTCTTCAGGGTATATTCCCAGTAGGGGGATTGGGGGGTCATATGGAAGGTTGATTTTTAGAGCATTTAGGAATCACCACACTGATTTCCACAGAGGCTGCACTAGCTTACACTCCCACCAACAGTGTAGAAGTAGAATAATATATTTTTAAAAGTAAGACTCCCAGCATCTACTTCTTCTCACTCACCAGAAGTTACTGCTATCACCATTCTCTTATGTATCCATCTAAAATTTTTCTGTACATATTTGATCATATGTAGTGTATGAGAGCCATGCATATGTAGACCCATTTTTAATGCAGATGGAATCATGCTGTGCGTTCTTAACCACTGCTACTTGTACCTGTTACAATGTGTCTTGGACTTGATTCTATATCAACACATACAAATCTACTTTGCTCTTTTAATGTCTTCATAGTATGCCATTATAGCACTCGTTGCTTTTAAAATATGGTTCAGGCCAGGCTCGGTGGCTCAGCCTGTAATCCCAGCACTTTGGGAGGCCAAGGCGAGTGGATTGCCTGCACCCATGGATTCAAGAACAGCCCAGGCGACTTGGCGAGACCTTGTCGCTACAATAAATCAAAAGTTAGCTGGGTGTGGTAGTGCGTGCCTGTGGTTCTGGTTACTTGGAAGGCTGAGGCAGAAGGGTCACTGGAGTCCAGCAGGTCGAAGCTGTGGTGGCTGTAAGCGTGCCATTGCACTCCAGCTTGGCGACAGAGTGAGACTCCAACTCAAAAAAATAAAATGTGGTTCAATATTTTGTCTGGTCAAGGAGAAAAGGATAGAGACATAAGAAACAGAAAAAGATATAGGGAGTTTGGGGAGCGGTATTGAGATACGTAAGAGACACTGCAAGAACACAGAATTTTTAAATAGTGCCACTAAATTTTAGCAACTATAGGCATCAGTTGGACTAGTACTTTTGATTACTGCTTTGCGAAGTAAATGAAATAAAGGCAAATTTTAGGCCAAGCCACAGGCCAGCTTTTCCCAACACTTCTGTAACCAGAAACCATGCTTAGTTTACTAGAGTCCTTTGAGGATTTAAATAGCACATGGTTAGAGTAGAATAGTGGATGCTATTTCAGCTTTCAAAATGTTTGCAAACTTTTAAACCTAAAGCTGTACAAAAATGCAGTAGTATTAATTATTCATTGCATATCATAATTTGGAACTAGAAATATACACTGACTCAATTCTAGGAATTTGTCCTTTATAGATGCAAATGCAAATGTGCGCAAATCAGTATACAAGATACTCTCTGCAGTATTGTTTATATTAACAAAATATTAGGGATAATTCAATTGCTCATCAGTAAGTGAATGGATTAATAAATTATGATATAGTCACACAGAGGAATAAGAACAAGACAGTTCTATGTGTTCTGACTTGGAAAATGTCCAGTATTTTTAAGTGATTAAAAAGTTGCAAGTCAGTGTGAATAGTATGATTCCAATTTTGGTTAAAATTGCATGTTAGCTGGGCTCGGTGGCTCAGCCTGTAATCCCGCGTTTTGGGAGGCTGAGGTGAGTGGATTACCTGAGCCAGTGGGTTCGAGACCCACTTTGGCGAGACCTCATCTCTACAATAAATCAAAAAATCAGCCGGGCGTGGTAGCGCGCGCCTGTAGTTCCAGCTA